ATTTCTCTCCCCACCCCCCTTGGCAGGTGGGAATGGAGAAGGGGGGGCATGGAGGGAAATGCCTGGTGGGGGAGGGGGTGTTGGTGGAGGAGGGGTGGGAGTTCCAGTGAGAGAGGGGGCAGGGAAGGCGGGGCTTCTGCCCAGAAAGGAGTATGGCACCTGTCACTTTTTGATTTGACGGGTGGTGCCCCCTATGTACTACTAATATATAACACCAATGGGGTATTTTGGTACATTTTTTTTGTCACAGTTCGCTCTTCACAATGCACTTTTTAACAACAATCTTCTTTCACAAAGAGTTGTAAAGAATTCTTTATAATGCAGAAAGTAAACCTAACATGAGGTGGCTTGACTCCATCAAGGAAGCCATGGCCCTCAGTGGGCAAGATGTGAGCAAGGCTCCGAATGACAGGACGTTTTGGAGGTTGCTACTTCATAAGGTCCACCATAAGTCAGAAACAACTTGACAGTACGTAACACACGTGAACGTGAGTAGAATTTCCACACACACCCTCCCCACAGTGGTCTGCTCCCTGATCATTCCGTAATTGTTCTTTGCGCTGAATCCCACCTCTCCTAAACTCGGATTTCATTAGATCCAGGTGGGTAGCTGTGTTGGTCTGAAGCAATAGAACCAAGTAGGAGTCCAGTGGCACCTTGAAGACCAACAAAGTTTAATTCTGGGTATAAGCATTCATGTGCATGAACACATCTTCAGACACCGGGCATCAAGCCCGAACCATCCCTAGATATCAGGAATCTGATTAAGTGTGCATGCACACAAAAGCTTATACCCAGACTTTGGTGGTCTTAGAGGTGCCACTGAACTCAAACTTTGTTCTGATTTAACTAGGAGAATTTCTATACTTTTTCAATATCGGAACACATGCAGTGTGTGGATGTATCTCTTGTTACTCGCATTGTGGGTATTGTAGAGAGGACAAATATTGCAAATGAAGGAGTTGGAAAGTTGCCGTTCAATGTACATGAGACTTCTGCAAGCAATTTTTTTTAAAAAATCCTGCATTTAACTGGATTTTAGGAAGTGTGGAATGTGGCACTAGGAGAAATTAAGGGATAATCAGAGAACTAAAGGGGAGGGCAGGGAGAGGAAACCTCCCCAACTATCAAGGAGCGCATGTTGATCCTGGAGTTAATTTTCGATGCTCAGTGGTGGCCCAGAAAGCAGGCTGCGAAAATGGGTGCCCAACTGGATCCCATGTTTACTCTCTGACACACAGGGTTGTTGGTCCACCCCTGAGCAGAAGATTGGGACTACAGGAGAAAGTGCGAAGGAAACCTTCTCCGAATGCCATCCTGGAGTCCTTCTACAGCAAGCACCAAAAGGGACCAGATGAGGTGAGTTTACATGCTGTCTCGCCCATCTACGACTGGTTCCAGGTTTTTTGGGGGAAGCATGCAGAGTTCCCATGGGCCCCCCCTCGGCCTTCCACAAGCCCCCCCCCCGCGCCAAAAAAAAACCAAAGCCCCCCCCCCCCGGTCGCACCTCCCTTTCCACCCTTCCCCTCATCTGCCTGTGTGTCTCTCTCCCTCTGCTTGCAACCCACGCTGCCTGGCATGCTCTTTCCTGCAGGTGCCAGGGCAGTCCTGCCGTCACTGCCGTGCATCACCTGCATGCTGTTCTCCAAGAATGCTGGGCAGCTTGTTTAGCTAGGAGCACAGGTAGTAGAGCAACTCACAAGCAGGTGAGCAGCAGCAGAGGCAGGTGGAGGGAGGAGTCATAGAATCATAGAGTTGGAAGGGACCACCAGGGTCATCAACCCCCTGCACAATGCAGGAAATTCACAAATACCTCCCCCCCACACACACTATGCTATGAAGTAAAAATAACTTTCCAAATGTTTTTTTAAAGTTTATTTATAGATTTTCAAATTATAAACATGGTATGTTACAACAGATTTTTTTTGAGTCTTATTTTCCTAACATATTGTCTAACCCGGTATACATTTTGGATCATCGTTTTTGGTATAATTCTTTGTCTTTTCCTTGTAAAATAGTATTTAATCTATCAATTTCCACTATTTCCAACATTTTCTGAATTAATTCATCTCTTTAAGGGGTTTTCTCTACTTTCCAACTTTAGCTACCAATATTCTAGCGGATGTTAACATGTAAGTTAAGGTATACAGTTCATTTTTATTATAACTATCAGGAATCATATTTAACAAAAAGATTTCTGGTGAGAAATGCAGATCAATACCCATTATTTCGATTATTATTCTATATACCTTCTGCCAATATTTCTAAATCTTACTACATCTCCACCACATATGTTAAAATGTTACAATATTAGTTTTACATTTCCAACATTTATTTGTCATGTTCTGGTAACATTTGGCTATTTTATCAGATGACCAGTGTCATCTATGAAACATTTTATAGATATTTTCCTTGTAAGATATAGCTCTCATAAATTTTATGGTTTGCCATATTTTGGACCAACAGTCTAGGTCTATGTTATAGCCTAGGTCTTGCATCCAGGTGATCATTGTTGTTTTAACTATCTCGTCTTGCATAAAATCATCAAGGAGGAATTTATACATTTTTTTGATTGCTTTGTCATTCGTGGACAGCCAGGTCGTATCCAGTTCATTTTTGGTCCCGTAGAAACCTATTTTACTGTCTTCATTATACCTACTATTTAGCTGTAGATTTTCCCACCATGTTAGCTTAGTATCTTGTGATAGTAGTTTTCCTTCAGTTTTCAGTTTGTTGTTTTTATCCAATAGGGTTTCATAACTTTCCTTTTTTTCTTTTGACATGAGTGTGGGTTTTGTAAAGGCTTCCAACGAGGAAACCCACCTAGGAATTTTGGTGTAATAGTATTCTTTTATTTTTTTCCAGATTTTTATTAGTGCTCCTCTTATTATGTGTTGATGAAATTTTTAATGTATTTTATCTGTTTTGTACCAGATGTATGCGTGCCAACCCATATATAAATTATAACCTTCTAAATTCAAAGTTCTTGTGTTTTCTAGTGTTAGCCATCCCAAGGCTGCTGCTTTGTAATATAGATACCAATTAGGTAGTCCAAATCCTCCTCTTTCTTTTGTATCTTGTAGGATTTTCCATTTGATCCTTGGTTTTGTTTTTTTTGCCAGACAAATTGTTTACAAATTTTGTCCAAATCTTTGAAAAATTGTTTTGTTTTTAAGATTGGTAAGTTCTGAGCTAAGAACAGAAATCTGGGAAGTATACCCATCTTTAGCATGGCTATTTCCCCCATAAATGATAGCTTGAGGTCCTTCCATTTTGAGAGGTCTTTCTTAATTTCCATCAGTAATTTATTATAGTTATTTTCTATCAGTGTACTGCTTCTGTTAGTCAGTATTATACCTAAATATTTAACTTTTAAAAATATTACCATAGAAGATAGTTTCTGTATATGGGATATTTGTTCCTGAGTACAATTTTTAGTTAAGATGTTTGTTTTTTTAAATTAATTTTAAAACCTGCCATTTGTCCATATCCTTGAATTGTTTTAATAAGGTGATTAATAGATGTTGCTGGTTCTTCTATTATAAAGACAAGGTCATCAGCAAAGGCTTGTAATTTGAATTCTTCTCCTCTTGTCCTAAGACCTTTTATCTGTTTGTTTTCTCATATTAGATTGTTTAATGTTTCAAGTGTAAATATAAATAGCAATGGAGACACTGGGCATCCTTGTCTTGTGCCTTTTTGTATTTCTATATTTTGTGTTATGTCTCCGTTTACTATCCTTTTTATGTATTGTATATTGTATATAGCTCTAATTATAGTAAGGAATTGTGAGCCACATTCCCATGCTTCTAATTTCTGTAGTAAAAATTCCCAGTTTATATTATCGAAGGCTTTTTCCCCGTCAAGAAACATTAGAGCCATCTGTTTTCCTGGATTCGTTTCATAATATTCTAAGACATTAACAATAGTCCGTATGTTATTTTTAATCTGTCTTGTCGGTAAAAAGCCTGCTAGGTCTTGGTGGATGGTTTGTACTAATACTTTCTTTAATCTAGCTGCTACTATGTTTGCTAATATCTTATAGTCTGCGTTCAACAGCGATATTGGTCTGTACTTCCTAATTTCCTTTTTGTCTGAGTTGGGTTTGTGGATTAATAACTTTCCAAATGTTTATAAGGAAAGTTAAAGGTGAGAGGAGGGAGGAGTTGGGCCAGTTTAATTTTGTTGTTGCTTTTCCTACTTTTGTTTATTTGCACTCTCAGAGAGAGAGAGAGAGAGAGAGAGAGAGAGAGAGAGAGAGAGAGAGAGAGAGGCTGGAACCTCTGACCTCTACCATCATCTGTTACGTGTTACAAACTTCCAGTCCCTGACACAGGGAATCCCCCCAGAAAGATTTGTGATGGGATTCACACCAAGGATCTCTCTGCCCCCAGTTCCTTCCCTCATAAAATTCCTTATAAAAATGTGGAAAATTGTTTTCTCTTCAGTGTGTCCGGTACCTTAGGCAGCAGAGCATTTTAAACTTCCAGTAGTGGATGCCCCAGTCAAACTCGGTCATCCCAGCAGAGTCGGATGGGCTCCCTAGGGACCCATGCGATGGAAGGATAGATCAATCCTTGCAAAAGAATTTTGAGGCCTCTTTGGCTAACCTGTGGGCCTCCACGGTGAGTTCCCTTTTTCCAGGGCAATCTGTTCCTGGGCCTCAGATCTTTTGGCAGCTGGCAATGACATCCCCAAAGAACTGAAGGATGAGCTAAAGAAGGCTGCTCTAGCTGCAGCCTTCTCTGCGGACGTATCCCTAGACACAATCTAGTGGTCATCCAGGGCTATGGCATCCAACAGAACAGCTAGACGCACCACCTGGGTAAGCAACTGGGAACTTGAACCTACCTCCCAAGTCCGAACGGCTAGCATTCCTTTCAAAGGTGTCAACCTTTTGGGGGATGGCTTGGATAGATACCCGATAGAGGATAAAGACAAAAAGAAGGCCTTTCCCATTCACAAGACAAAAGGTAAGCCCAAGAAGCGCTTCCATTCCTTTCATGATCCTAAGCAAAGCATCAGTTTTCAGCCTTCTAAGTCTCCCCTCTAAGCCCTTCCTCATGGCAGAGTCACCCAAGTTCTGACAAATCAGTGCCCAAGGAAGTACCTTCTCCTTCTTCAAGCTATCCAGCCTCTGTTGGACATCAGAGCAATAGAGCTAATCCCAGAGGACCAATAGTTAAATATTTACCTATGGTGTCCCCCCCCCAGTTGAACTCAAACACATGATAACCCGAAACCAAGCTTGTATCTAGCTCTAATTATAGTAAGGAATTGATAACCCTTTATCTATTAAAAAACATCTCCCCTATTTTGCATTCTAATTTAACAAGCCACCCTCTCCTATATATACAACTCTGTTCTGTAATTCCATTTCATTGTCTGATGAGGTCTGTGTTCACACGAAAGCTCACGCCCTGAATAAAACTTTGTTGGTCTTAAAGGTGCCCCAGTGGACTCTAACTTTGTTCTTCCGCCACAAATGTTGTCAGTCTTTGAGGTGGTTCGATTTTGTTAGCTTCATCATAATGGGGTGCATTGTTGGAACAGACTTTCACAATCCCTGAAGGCACTACACTTTGTGCAGATGAGAACCAAGGAAGCAAAAGAGAAATTATGGCATTGTCAGGTGAATGAATGAATGAATGAATGAATTTTATTGTTACAGCGCATAGCCAGCAATTATAAAAAACCACAGAAGTAACTTACAATAACCAAATGGTAAAACTACCTTAAAAACAACAGGGTTACTAAGGAACAACATTATGTAGTCATTTTGATCACTAAAACCAGACTTAGAAATACGCTGCAATGAAACACATTTAAAAAGAGTAAAATAGAATGACAAAAAAGGCAATAAGGTTTAAAATCAAACAGTCCTATCCCAAGTGACAACCAGAACACTGATGAGCTTTTACGACCAAGGAGCAAAATTTTGCAATGTCTGGATTTCAATGTCTAAAATATCCAGATGGTGAATCTATTTATGTAAAATTATACAAGCATTTTAAAATCTAAAACCAACAATACAATGTAAAAAGGACAGAATTTAGTCTTAAAAAGATAAAAGAATGAGAATAAAAAAAATCAGTTATTTGGGAGGGAATCTAACCCAAGTGGCTACCTGAACACTGATGAGCTTTTACAACCAGAAAACAGAATTTCGCTATCTGGTGTATCGCTGTATGGTCAGGATTTGAAAGTAATTTCTCTATCTTATCCTGATCAGAGGAGCCAACCAAGAGGGGACCAAAACATTTTGTGCGAGCTTCGTTATATAATGGGCATCTCAGGAAGACATGTTCCTGGGATTCTATCTCCCCAGACGCACACATGCATAGCCTCTCATTTCGGGGAGTATTGTCAGGTGGTGGCTAGAGATCTCCTGGGATTTCAACTGATCTCCAGGCAACAGAGGAAATGGAGAAAACGGCCACTTCGGAAGAAGAAGAAGAAGATATTGGATTTATACCCTGCCCTTCACTACCCACCTGAAAGTTGTGTAACAAAAAATGGCAATACAGTATGTGTAGTATACTAAATCTGATAAACACTGTAACGAAGGAATACAAACATATAATTACGGCCTGATGAAGGGTCAAAATGGAGATTTACCTGGGACATCCGTTGCCATGGTTAACCTTATGTATTGTGGTTTAGCTTCACATGTTTAAATTCAACTTGTACTTGTATGGCATCTTTAAAGGATAGCTAATAAGAGGGTTTTTTAATATTTCAAGTAGAATTTTTGTGTGTATTCCTTCATTACAGTGTTTTTCAGATTTAGGCCCCTGCCACACGGGGGGGGGGGGGAAAACGCAAAGTGCGGCTTTCTAAAGCCGCACCAAAAGAGAGCTGCTGCGGCGGGATCACATAGATCCCCTGAGCCGCCACACACTTCCTCCCCGGCATGATCAGATACCGGGGGGAAGCCACTGAAGAAAGAGCACAACAGCTGAACTGCGCGTGTGTGCGCATGCGCAGTTCGGCGGGGAGCCTGGATTGATCTGGACGACGGGCGTGGCGGCGATCCCACGGCCGCGCTTGCAGCGGTGCTTCAGGTAAGTCCTCCTCTGTAGGAGGTTCTTTTTTGCAGCAGGTTTCCCGAGTTTAGGAACGGATTGGGGACGGGTGCACGCCGCTTCTGAGATGTTGCGGTGAGATCACACCCGTTTGCTGTGCCCCCGATCCGTCTCTCTCCCGAGCCAAAGTCTCCCGTGTGACTGGGGCCTTAGTATACCACTGTCCGATTCCCCATTCATTCAAAGTAAATCCACGTTTGATGAACAAAATAGAATTTATTAGAAGAGATGATTAGATCAGGAACAAAATCATTGTTAGTAATGACTACAACAGTCCAAAGGAAACATAATAAAGAAACTTGAACCGAGACGGGACCAATGGGCCCAATTCCCGCTGGCGGGAGTGTGATAAGACTTCGCGCCCATTCCCTGGGAACACAACGGTTCATACTACAGTCAGGCCTCGGAATACAAAACAAAACAAGCAAGCCAAAACTACTTCCCACCTCCAGCTGTGCAACCTTGAGCAGTTCCGCAGGGTGCTAGTACAGAAAGTAAACACCTACAGGAGAGGCCACCTAAGGGGGGAAGAGTACATCATGCAGAATACAACAGACAACCCCATGGCAGCTTGCTGACAACCACCTGAAAGTTGGTATTGGTAGCCTTACTGGGAACTGGCTTGGGAGAGAAGCCCCTCCCCTATGGAATCAAAATCCTCAGCGACCCTGCCTGCCTCCAGGGAGGGGCTACTTCCCACACATTCAGACTGCCCCACCCTAGGACTACCGAGAGGGGAGAGTCAAGGTAAGTGAAACAAACCTTTCATTTTCTTCCTGAGATACTAGTTTTCTGTATGCAGGGGAACATTTTGAAGGGGGCATGTTTCAAATGTGGATGTACGAAACGAATTTCTCATGGAACGGATGTGGCTTTTTCTCACTCTGGTTCTGGGGCCTTCTTTTCCTAGAGGCAACTGAGCGGTCTCGCCAAACAGTGCGACCTGCAGACCCGGCAGGTGGAGAGATGGTTTCGATCCCGGCTCAGGCAAGACCAGCCCAGCCTGACAAAGAAATTCTGCGAAGCCTGGTGAGCCAGAACGGATGTGGTGCTTTTGAATGATAGCAGAAGTGGATTCAGGGGGGGGGGCAGATCTCTTTGGCTGCAACGCAGTCTGTGTGGGACTGCCCTTGAAGGTTGTTCAGAAGGCCCAGTTGGTACAGAATGCTTTAGCCAGGAGGTGAACTGGAGTGGGTTGTGGGGACCATCTCACTCCAGTCTTGGCCCAACGATGCTGGTTCCCAGATTGTCTCCAGACACAATTCAAGGTACTGGTGCTGACCTTTAAAACCCCACATGGCTTGGGACCAGCCTCCCTGCAGGTTCTACGTCTTTATGAAGCAACCCGCCCACGACAGTCATTTTTTCCAAGGCCCTTTTTGGGTGCCCTCCCCCTTCTGAGATCAGGCAGGTGGCCACCCGGGAAATGCTCTTCTCAGTCCTGGCACCAAAACTTTGGGCCCTCTCCCCCCAGGGAGACTCCTCTTTCCCCTTCTGTGGCCATCTTTGTATTTTGTCTGCTGTTTTAGTTGCTATTTTTATAGGAGAAGAGTGGGTTTTTATTCCCTGCTTTTCTCTATTGGTGGCTCAAGTGGTTAAGACGCTGAACTGCAGGCTGTGGAAGGTCGGTAGTTCAGCAGTTCGAGACCCGAGTGTGCCGCATGACGGAGTGAGCTCCCGTCTCTAGTTCCAGCTCCTGCCAACCTAGCAGTTCGAAAGCAAGAAATTGCAAGTAGATAAATAGGTACCTCTTCGGTGGGAAGGTAACAGTGTTCCGTGTGCCTTGGCATTTAGTCATGCCAGCCACATGACCCCGGAAACGTCTTCGGACAGCGCTGGCTCTTCGGCTTTGAAACGGAGATGAGCACCGCAACCCTAGAGTTGGATTCGACTGGCTTTCGAGCAAGGGAGACCTTTACTTTTCTCTATCTGCAAACGCAGGCCCTGCCAACAAGCAAGCAGTTACATCTCCCAGGCCTGGGGAATTACAGAAAAACATCTTCAAGGCCAGTCTGCAGACAGTGGAGCTCTAGACAGAGAAGCTCTGAGAACAGAAGAGAATACCATCACCACCCCTCACATCCCAACACTATGACAGGGTTACCTGACAACGGCAAACAGGGAACAAGTTTGACATTAAGACACGCTTGCCTGTCTAGCCCCACTTTCAAACTGGTAAGCAGAAAGGGGACAGGGTAAAAGCCGGAATGGGCCGGAACGGCCCGGAACGGGCATTAAACAAACAATAGTACCGCAAAAAACAGTGGCATGCATTACAGGCACTCCAGAACAGTATTCTAGAGGTGGAAAACCGGAACTCTCACTCTTTTATTAACCCTTTCTAGGCCAAAATGCCTCCGGAACACCCCGGAACGGCCCAGAACGGGCATTAAACACACAATAGTACCGCAAAAAACAGTGGCATGCATTACAGGCCCTCCAGAACAGGAGGCATTTTGG